TCGCGCAACATGAAAGCCCTGTTTAATTATGATAGAAGAGAGAACTAAACATTCACACATCTGCTTACACTTTAGGCCTGTGGCGGTTTTATTAAGCTAATTTAATTTTTTTATTTCGATTTTGGCTTCTAAGGATTATACAAAAGAAGACATGAGGTAAAGCTATTAAAAACTAGCTGCGTTTCGTATTGCGTTTATATGGGTATGTATGTGTGAAAATCACTTTTAACAAGTTTCAAACATAATAATTCATTACATTTATATAGCGCTTTTTTTCTGCTTTTCTAAGCGCACTACATTGCGAGGGGGTATCTCCTCGTCCACCACCAGTGTGCAGCATCCACCTGGATGATGTGACAGCAGCCATAGTGTGCCAAATCACATTATTAAAATACTTAAGACACTTTTTAAGGGGTGAAGGAACAAACAAATATCGATACACAGAATGTGATATTGTCTCTTGTGCCATAGTCTTAGGTGAGAACTCATAGAGCGGCCTTGTTTACTTAAATTATATGACAACATACAATACAAACAATCCCCACAGACATACATTATATGGCCTTCATATAGCTACAGGATCATAAGATCATTCATCCCTTATCAACACTAGTTGTTGGGCTGAATGAGCATGGACATGTCATTGGGGTTATGAAGTGGCGTCCTCTTTCAAAGGTTCCGTCCAGTTTACCTAAAACCCAAACTTAACGTCAGAATCAGCTGAATCGGTGATTGTTGTAAGATGCCGTCTTTACTCTTGCTAAATTGCGGGACATGTTTGATGATAAATCGTTGAAGGCACAAGAGACGCTGTTCCTCAGGCTGAAATGTGTGCGCGCGGCGAGCTCCAAAACGGACAAACAAATTACACTTTGAGCTTCGGGCGCATGACCAAACGAAGCAGCCATAGTGTGCCAGAATGCCCACCACAGACCAGTTTATTGGTAGATAATCAGTAGATATGGGGATTGTTAGGAGGCCATGCTGGTCAGAGGCCAATGGGTGAATTTGGCCAGGATGCCGAGGTCACACCTCTACTCTTTTCGAAAGACATCCTGGGATTTTTAATGACCACAAAGAGTCAGGACCTCGGTTTAACGTCTCATCCGAAGGACGGTGCTTGTTGACAGTATAGTGTCCCCGTCACTACACTGGGGCATTAGGACCCACACAGACCACAGGGTGAGCACCCCCTGCTGGCCTCACTACTCA